CACCATGGTGACGGCTGCTGTTCCCCCACACAGGCAGAGGGCGACTTGTTACTGAGCGACTAGCAGAAGCTGGATCGAGACAGCTATGTCTCGGTGACGACTGCGAATTGGAATGGCCTTTTGAGGGAAAACGTGGTGGAATTTGAGGCGTTGAGTTGTAAGACGTACTATGCGAGCACAGGAGTTGGATGGCATTGTTCTGCGATGATCGCTGCATGTTCAATCGGCACACCCAATTGAGACGATGTTGCGTATTTAGCACCGACGCAGCCATATCGTCATCAGTACAATCCAGCATATGACTCCTTGCCCAAGACACAGCTATTTACTCCGTTGTTGTTGTCACCCTCAGAGCGATGGTCAGATTGAAGTCATATCAGAGTGTTGTTCTTTTCGGTGGTCCACACCAAACAGCTGTAAAACTGGCTCCAATTTCAGATGGCACTCACGTTACAGTACTTGTATCAATCGGCGGACTCTGCCTCAACGTCCCTGCCGATAGATCACTCTCTTCACCCCCGAGCTCTGTCAGCCATCCTACTGTTCATTAGGCCTTGTGACCGTCGCCTTCTCGCTGTCTGTCCCGCTCTTTGACGTAGCGACGCTGCGTTGGAATTTATAATGGAGTCGACGTCTGCACTGCCTCCTACTGCGGATTTACCAGCGTGCTGGACACCCACGGACCAACGCATCATGGAGCATTTGCTGCTGGACCAATCCGATGCGGAGGACCATTACGCTGCGGCTCACCAAGATGCACGCAATTCTCCGCGTACTGTGGAGCTCAGTCGAGCAGACAAGCTCAAACCCAAGCAGAGCACGACCAAGCGTAGTGTTAGTCCTGCTAAAAAGGTTGACAGTGTCAAGGCCAAGCAAATTGAGGAGGACAGACGAGCGCGTCATCGAGAAGTGCAGCGGCGCTTTATGCAGCGCAAGAAGGCAGAGGTAGAACGCACTAAGACACTGGCACAAACACTGGAGAAAAAGTATCGATACCTCGAAATTTCGGCCGAAGAGAAGAACTTGAAGGTCGAGAACCGAGAGTTGCAAGAACGAGTGGACGCTGCGGCGGCGTCGGTGCCCAGAGTGCCGCATGTTGACCCTGTACAGCTTTTGATGCAGGTAAATGGATGCACTTTTACGGACAGGAAAAGCGACAAGTGCTT